TTTCGTTCTTTATAATTATTGTCATTTGGACAGATTCAAAAGGGAATAAAGACCTGCATCACTGAATGCTAATGAAGATGCCACATTACATAAGCTTGACCTTTATCCTCTGCAACCACAAAGTCTTAATCTTGACTTTCAGCTTTCTGATGGAACGTGAAATGAAGATAATTCTCAATTCTGGGGCCTTTCAGACTGCTCTCTTTCAGTGTATTTCCTAAATCTTTGTTACTCAAAATGTGGTGCACAGACTAGTAGACCAAGCATCACTGGAGATGTTGTTACAAACTCAGAATATTAAGCCACTCTCCAGACCTACTGAGTCAGAATGTGCATGTTAACAAGACCTCCAGGTAATAATGTGTGTGCATATTAGAGGCTGAAAATCCTTGCTCTGGAAAAGGTGATGCTAATGCTGCTGGTCTGCAGACCACCTTCTTCCATCTCTGATCCAAAGTCGTCAAATTTTGAAGCTTTCAGGAGCTGTTTAATATAACCTTCAGAACTCATATCCTGAAAACCACATTGAAGAAATACTTATCTCATTAAAAATATAACTAGTGATTTCTATCTTTAAAAATGAAAGAAAAGTTCAAGTTAAGCAAAGAAAGAAGATAAGTTGAGATGGCGAATACCCTTCTGGGTATTTCTTAATGGCTTAAAAGAATAAGAGGAAGTTAACATTTTGTCTCTCACTTTAGTGCAGGGATATTGGTGGTAGTGATGGTAAGCAGTGATAATGCAGATGAGAATAGGCTAAGGATAAATAGAATTTTTGCCTAAAATTTCTACCATCATATATGATATATTACACCCAACAGAACTTAATGGTATTTTGACTTAGACTAACACAATTTCAGATGCAGAAGACCATCTAACCCATTCCCATTAGGAAATCTGGATCTGTTGCAAAAGGCCACAGAGCCATCTGGTAGAGCAAGGAGTAAATCACAGATCTCCTGATTCCTGGAGTAGGGTTTTTCTGACTCTATCATGTTGTATAGCCTTTGACGAATAATGTCCCTTACTGTGGGCAAAGATATGTTCCGTTCTTTCCATGTGCTGACAATTTACCTGAGGAGATATGATGTTCTTATAAGGTGACAACAATTCAAAGTATCCTATAAGTTCTAAGGGATGGTTTCTCAGGAGTGGTTAGGCAAAGAAAGTTCAGAAACACTGGTCTGGAAACAGTGTGCAGTACGGCGTGGGAGGAGGAGGATTATAAGCAGGGAGCATCAGCTGGATGCTACTGCGATATCCCTGGAGCATGTTCATAGGCTAGAACTAGAAGGCACTGGGAGATTTGGAAAGAATGGGGCAGCTGCAGCCTTATTTTAAAATGGAGCATTTGCCTTGCTCCTTTTACCTTCTCACAACCTGTAAGGCTCCTAATAACTGCTTCCAAATTCAAGTCCCCCCAAACCGAAAATTGGTTATTTTCTGAAACAAATATAGTTTTGCAATTTATTTTCTAATAGGCAGATGCAATCAGGATAAGCTGTAAAGGACATTTAAATCTAAGACCATTATTTTGCTTCTTAGATAATAAATTTCAAAATGTATTAGATGTACATCTTTAGAAATGTTAAAGTCATCACTAGTAAATTTCTAAGTCTATTTAAAAATCTTAATAACTATCTTTCATTTTTATTGCACTCTACAGTTATAGAGCATTTTCATATTCAGGGGTACTGATACTATTTCTCATTTTGCAGTTGAGAAATAAGCCTGGAAATGCTATATGATCTGTCCAAGACTGTGCACCCAGTAAATAAATAGACGGCTGAGACCCAAGACTAATGCTCTTTCCTTATGCTGTTGCCTCATGAAATAAAAATAAGGTTGATACAGACTCACCTGTCAAAGTCATTCATTCAAGTATGACTTGGTACCACCTATGTCAGGCACTGGGGGGATTCAGTGAGTGCTTTCATGAGATTGTAGCAAGTGGGGGATATAGTCTATCTGTAATTATCTGAGCTCAGAGGGGTGACTGAAATTAGAGTGCTGTATGAGTTTTCTGAATCATAGCCAATAGGGCATAAGAGATTGCCAATGTTCACTAATAAGAGAAAGAAAAAGGGCGCAGAGGGAAAGATAGGGGAGGGAGGATGATTCACAGGGGAAAAAAGAGTTTAAAAATCAGAAAAGAAAAAAAAAAAGGCCAGAAGCAAAGCCAATTCTCAGTAAATGTTAGGCAATAAGGACAGCCAACATATTTCTACTCACAGTTGTTCACACGGACACAAAACTGCCTAATTCCATTTGAATCCATGAAAACCCTTGAAGGAAATGGGGAATTACTCCTGAAGATAAGAGAGTTGTCCACACACACCCAATGTGAAGACCTGTGAGGAAACAGGAGGGAGAATAGATACATTTAGAAGGATGGTTAGGTCCCAAGAAGGTGCCCCAGGGAAGTTAGTCCGATGCCAAAGAGAGGACTCCTTGGGCAGCCACTGGACAACACTAAGGTCCGATTCTATTGGACAGCCCTGTTCTAGAGAATTTGAAGAACTGTGCTCCTGGTGAAAACCAAGATAGTTCCACTTCAAGGAGTGGAACTGGGGGTGGGAGGCACGAAGGCTAACTCTTCCTACGTCCAAATGTTATTCTAGGGCCCCAATTCCCTTCGGGGTTCAACCCGAGCATCGAAGCTCACCTCACGCTGCCTGGAAGGCAAAAGGAGAAAACCGTCCTCGGATGGAGAAGATAGCAATCCCTGTCACAGCAGCAATTAATATCGCAGGCACCAGGTGTCAAGTCACAGACACAGATCGGTAAGACTATGAAAGTATAACATAAAGCAGAGCGAACAGGATGAGGATCCCCACACTCTTTCAAGTGTTAATTCCTCCTCTCCCGACAGACCCTTTACTTACTTTGTGGCAAGTCACTTTGTTCACAGAATTTTGGATCTAAGTCAGTAGTTTCCACTCCCACATCCCCTCCCCTCACCTGGGGAAAGGTCCATGGTCCTATTCCCAGGCGCCGAGGTGGTCACGACAGTAGGGCCCACTGTAGAGATCCCAGGCACTGCCCAGGGAGTTTCAGTGCCCTCGGAGAACGACTGAAGGGTCCCGACCTGCGTCCCTGGCCCCAGGTCTGAAGGAGTGGGCACTGCACCAGATGGGGAGAAAGATGGCTGAGGCCGGACGCCCGGGGGGACCATTAGGAAGAACACCTGCAGTAGCGCGAGCTGCGAGATGCACATGGGACTGTAGAGAACCTGCATCGGTCAGAAGTGAGTTTAGGCGGTCGCCAGACGCGTCGCTAGAGCCTGGGTGGGAGGAGGCACATGGCGTCTGACGTCATCCGTATGCGTCTGCTCATTGGCTCATGACGATGGAGCTCTTCAGCCAATAGAAGGCGATGTTGTTACAGATCTCTCAGCATCTTTCAGTCCACGCCCTCCTCCTCCGGCCTGGCAGAACCTCTGTCGCTTGGCAACCGCCAAATTGGTGAAAGAGCCCATGCCTCTCTTCTCCGCTAAGTGGCAGTAGGAGTTCAGCCGAAGGGCCAGGGGTACAAGCGCAGACTTCGCGGCCCAGTGGACTGAGTCCTTCCTTGATGGAGGGAAATCCCAGAGCCTGGAACTAGACTTGCATATCTTTTTCATCACGGAGTCTAACGGTGAGAATCCTTTTCTAAAGAAGCCCAATAGTCTCAGGGAGGAAAATACACCGAAGGTCACATACCTTTAAAAAAAGTCTCATCTAGCTATAGTATTTTAGAGGAAACATTAGAAAGATTCAGCTCCTTGAATTTTACTGTTGAGAATTTTTTTTAATTTAAAAAATAGTCAAGGGATGGGGATGAAGACATTCTTTGCTATTATAAATTGTCACTTTTTGTAGCCCTCTTTAGAAAGTTTCGGTTTTTTCCCCAGGAGTGGTGTGCCTCTTCTGATTCTCTAGAGCAGCACTGTTCAATAGAACTTTCTGCAGTATGGGAAATGTTCTATATCTGCACTGTTCAAAATGGCAGCCACAGGCTATGTTTGGCTACTGCACACTTGAAATGTGGCTTATGTGACTGAGGAGGTGAATTTTAAAATTTCAACCCAAAGTTAAGTAACCACATGTGACTTGTATACAGTAGCTAGCATACTGGATCAAAATCTTGCTCCTGCTAGATCGAGTGTTTTCCTCAGTCTACACAGGATTATTTCAATTGCTTGGTTTGGGGATGTAAATTAAGATCTGTTCAGAGTTATCTAAAATCTAATACACTTACCCAAAATCTAGCCAATACCTAATTTTCCAAGTGAAGCACTTAGGCAGATAAATTTTAGGACACCTGACCTTGCTCACATTCTCTGACAAGATATTGCTATACTGGTGTTTTGAAGTCAGTAGCTAAATATATCTCTGTGTTATAAATGTTCTCAAACATATGTATGATGGACTGCTCTAAGAGATATCTATATTTGTGTCTAGACATAAATTATTTATCTACCTTATTAATAATGTTTGTAGGAAAAGGCTAAGTTCATATTATTCAAATTGTATGTATTTACTGGCATATAAGCTCCACAAAACAGGATTTTGTCTGCTTTGTTCACTGATTGTATCCCATGCCGAGAGCAGTGCCTAGGAGATACTAGATATGCATTAAATATTTTTTAAAAGATTGTTTTGTTGAACTCTTTAGATTTAACTCATGAGTATTTAGTGTTTACATTATTTCAGGATTGCATTTCTTTACATAAAGTTTCTATTGTATAACCAATTGGAGACCATTTTAGGTTTCCAAATTTTCATTTCACTCTGTAATTCTCAATCAGTGGTAAATCAGTGATAAGTTAATACTGAATTTATTAGTGTTGGCAAAAGAGACTGTTGATTAAAGTAATTTCAGGGTTGAGTGTAGGGAAATAACATTTCAGAATTTCTGAGTTGCTTTTTTATTTTTGAATTTTAGCACTTCACATATTTTTAAAATACTTCTTTCTCTTTTTTGTTATAGCTGAGCAAAAATATTTTCATATTGTGATCTGTTTATAGGAATCTATAAAATGGAACTCTCAGTTCTTTTCAGGTATATTAAAATCTGAAAGATAATTTTGAGGAAGGACAATGAAATTTATTCACATGTGTCATGCAGATGCCAATTTTAACAGGAGGATTGAGTCTTAAACTGAAATAGCTTAATATGATATCACCTCAGAAGAAGAGATTTCCAAATAAGATCATATGATACTAGCAGCTGTTTGGTATTAAAAGAGTTCAATATGTGCTTAGAAATTTAGCCAAGAGACTGAGTCAAGATGGCACACTAAGAACAAGTTCTAGCCTTTCCTGGCTCCTCTCTGCTTTCCAGAATCTCTAAATATTAGAGGAAAGTTAGATGAATACACACTTATGTGCATCCATGCACGTATGTTGATGTTGAAAAACATGAAGGAGTACTCCCAGACATTATGACAATCTTTGAAAAATAGAAGGCAGATGGGTTTGGATTGTAGTTGGACAAACAAAAGTTGCATAAGCAGAGGCTTAATATACAAGTAGGAGTGGCTCTTGGGGGTGTTCTAAGCACACAGAAAGGAGCTATTGATATCAGTAAGGCCTTTGGACAAGTGAGTTATTGATTCAGGTACCACTGTAGGAAGATCCAGGTAGATTAGCCTTTAAACTTTGCTCCCATGTGCACGGAGTGAGTAGAAGAACTTGCTCCTAAAGGGGACAGGGGCAGTCCATGTAGGCACTTTTGTTAAAAAGACAGGACTGAATCCTGGATGGCTTTGGCATCTAGGAGGAAGAGAGAGACCCCCACATCTCGAAGACTGGTACTAGCTCCCCTTATCAAGTTGCATATCCAATATTTCCTCCTCTACAAATCTACTAAAGTATAGCTTAAAAAAGATGTATTACCTTTAAAAGAGCTACAATAAGACTCACACCTGACTTTTTAACAGAAATAAGCTAAGCCATGAAAAATGGAATAATGTCTTAAAAGAAGTTAACCTAATACAACATTGTAAAATGATTATAACTCAATAAAAAAACATTTTAAAAAAGAAGTTAACCTAGATTTCTATATCCAGCAAAATATTCCTCAAAAATGAAGATAAAAAAGTGTTTAGAAAACAAAAATTAAAAAAAAAAATTTGTTACAGACCCACACAAGGAATTGCTAAAGGGAAATAATTCAGACTAATGGAAAAATGATCCCCGATGGAAGCACAGAAATGCAGGAATAAATTAAAAGCAATGGGAAGGATAAATACAAGGTCAGTATGTAAAACTCAATTGTATTTCTGTGTTATAGCAATAATAAAAGAAAATAAAAATTTTTAGATGATAAGATTTATAACATAAAAACTAAATAACTAGGAATAAATCTAAAATAGTGCAAGCTCTACATATCAAACTATATATTATTTCTGAGAGGAATTCAAGAAAACCTATATAAACGGAGGGCTACACCAAATTCATGGCTAGGAAGACTTAATGAAAACATATTACTTCTTCCCAGATTGGTGTATAGATTCAGTGCAGTCCCAGTAAAAATAGCAGCATTTTTGGGTAAAAATTGACAAGCTGATTTCAAATTTATAGTTAACCATTGAATAACATGGACTTGAACTGTGCAGTTCCACTTACACGTGGATTTACTTTCAATAGTAAATACTAATATACTAGATGATCTGTGGATTTTTGACTAGGTTGGGATGGGTACACCCAAACAAGCCCCTTGTTGTTCAAGGGTAAACTGTGTATGTAATTGCAAGAGGCCAAGTAGAGCCAAGAGAATCTTGAAGAACAAAGTTGGAGGGTCTTTACCTACTATACGTCACCTCTTATTATTAAGTTAAAGATATTACTAGAATAAAGTGGCTTCATGATAGACAGACCAACAGAAAACAATAGAGTCTGGAAACAAACCTACACATATATAGTCATTTGATTTATGACAAAAGTGATACTACAGTGCAGTGAGGAAAGAGTGATCTTATCAGTAGATTATGCTGGGTCAACTGGATATTCATAAGACAACAGCGTGTCTTGATTCCTAGCTATACCCAAACATCGATTTCACATAGATTGCAGACTTATGTAAAACAACAAAGCTACTAGAAGATAACGTGACAGAGTATCTTTATGATCTTGGGGAAGGCAAATATTTCTTAAACCAGACAGAAGAATCACTGATTATAAAGAAGATTGATAAATTGTTCTTTACTAAAGTTGAGAACTTCTCTTAATAAAAAGACACCATTAAGAAAATATAAAAGCAAGCTTTTCAATGTTTTTTCCTTAAGAAAATAAGTTACAAATATGTGTGAATCATTTTCATCAACTGTTACTTTTTAAATTAAATTTTAAATTTTATGATAAGTGTACATTCACATAATGTTGTAGGAATAATACAGGGAAATAGTGTGTATCCTTCAAAGATGACAACTTGCAAAACTATGGTACGCACAGCCAGAATATTGGCATTGATACAATCCACCCATTTTCCTCAGATTTTCCCAGTTTTACTTTCATATATGTATGTCTGTATTAAGTTCTATGCAATTTTACCACATGTGGTTTCATGTATCCACCACCAGAATACAGATACGAAGCTATTCCATCACCACAAATTTCCTTCCTGTTGTTCTTTCATAAACATTCCCACTTCCCCCCTTCCACTTTCTCTCCCCAGGATGCATTTTTAACCATCATTAATTTTTATAACAACCATGATCAAAATAATGTAATTTAAACAGTGCTTCACAAGCATTTATCCAAGTAAATCAAATAAATGGTGCTTACATGTTTAACAGAAAGCAAACGTTGAGTAGCTCTGGAGAAATTAATTTGCTTGCTTATTGAGATTAATAAACAAAGAATATATTATAGAAGGAAGAAATGTTTTCACTTTGAAATCATTAAAAAAATTTCTTTAGCTGTTAGTATTAATAGTAAGTATTGTACTAATTAGACACTGCCTACCATTCCTAGATAGAAACTCATTTATGATGTCATCATTGTGCTTAATGTAAGAGGGATATCTATTCCTTTTCTTTTCTTTTCTATTCTTTTCTTTGCTTTTTTACTTTTCTTCCTTATTTCATTCTTTGGAAACTGTAGTCTCACCTTCTTTTCACTCTGAATCTGTGTAAGTTTCGCCCTACAGCAGAGACTGCTAATCACTGACCACATACCCATTCTCTCTCCTCTCAAATAAACAAACCCCAATTTTCACTGAGCACAATGTAGCCAAGAGATGACATTTCCCAGCCTCTTTTGCAGCAAGATGGGATCATACATACAGTTCTGACCAATGAGATATATATTAAAGAATTGGTGA